AGCAAGAAGCTGAAAGATAATTCTACAAGTGAGAAATGTGGGAAAAGAAACTGTTATCATAGAAAATACAGCTACAACTAGCAATTTCAACAATGATATTATAAAACCTAGCTGCCAATCTAGTATTGCACTTAAATTTGTAATGTCTAGATACCAAAGAGGAAAGCTCATCAGAACAATTTCCATGAAAATATTTATAGCTATGTTACCAGATGTTGACTGCTCAACTACCCAAAGCAAACTGTGTAAATATTTTACAAGCAATGACAAAGTTGTGCATACAAGATGCTAGAAACAAAAACAGACTATCATTATTGTTTTGTCTGTGTATTGTTTAATATATTATAAATGTAATTGTCATCTTTGCTAATAATATTTATGTAAAAAAAGCTTAGATAGGATTAAAAAAAAATATGTATCAATATGGTTTCTTTTGTCTTTTAATAATATATATATACACACACACACACACACACATATATATATATATATATATATATATATATATATATATATATATATATATATATATATATATATATATATATATTTATTGGTTGGATTGATGTCAGTTTTAACCCTGGGTTTATACGTTTTATAATCATAAAAGCGTGTGAAACCCAGGGTCACAAACTCAAATCAATCAACCAAATATGTTAGCTCTATCTCTGATATCAATATATATAATTTTATAAATATAATATATAAATAATATATATATATATATATATTTATATATTATATATACACATTACTATATATATATATATATATATATATATATATATATATATATATATATATATATATATATAAAAAAAAAAGAACAGTAAGATATATAATCCGGTGTTCTTATAGATATTTTTATTTTTACAAAATAGTGCTCAATGTAAATTTACAGAGCATTAATATTATAAATTAAATGATTTAAAATATTTTTTTTCGCTACACAGTTCTAACCATGTTTCAAAAATGGAAGCTAAAAAGCCCTGAATTTAATTTTGTAATTAAATTAAAGACATTAGTTCCATTTCATCCTCAAGCGAATTTTGGAGTAACTTTTTTAAAATTACTGGGTTTTAAATACACAGCTAAAAACAAAATTCATGTTTCCAAGGTTACAGATAAATCTATTCAACTAGACTAGGGGTGTCTGGGAGTTCAATATGTCTATATTTTAATGTATCAGTTATCGTTACGTTTTGGTAGTGGGTAGGGATGTATTTTTCAATGAAATCTAACATCCGTTAAATGCGTGTCGTCTGGACTTTTTAAAAATTTTATTGTTAACGGCAAAAAATTCTTACGGCATTTTTTTTTTTGTATATTTAAAGGTTTTTGGGGGTGTTTAGGTAAGAACTTTTTTTTTATTTAACTGCGAACTGAAATATTTTTACTTTTAATTTTTAATATACTATATTTCTTTCAAGAGCAATTAAATGTAATTAGAATCCCTTACAGTTTGTAGAATTATTATCACATCAAGTATATTACGATTTTTAAAAATTTTATATTTAAATATTATTTAAGTAAAATTTTCATTTCTCTGATTTAGTAAACTTTATTTATTTATTTAATTACAATTTAAATTAAGTTTAGGTTAGAATTCATTTTAATTAACTACAATTTTAATTATATCTTTAAAATATTTTCATAGTTAGTTTTTATAGACTATATTTCATTTAATAGAAGTAAATGTATTAGAATTACTTACTGTAAGTAAAATTATTATTCCATATCAATCAAGTATATGTCTATTACGATTTTCAAAATTTTATATTTAAATATTTTTTAAGTAAAATTTTTGGCACTTACGGCAAAAATAGCTAATTCATTCCTCCGATTTAGTAAACTTTATTTATTTTATTTTATTTATTTTTATATATATATATATATATATAAACTTTGTACATACAGGTGAAACTATATATTACTAAGGACATGGGTCATTCAATGGCCTCCATCTTCTAGCTTTTCGTCATAATTTCATTTTTCGGTAGGTGTTTTATTGGATTCATTTGAGTGTCAGTAGTACTTTTTGAGAGGTGTTTAGGTTAGCATACGTTTTTATTTAACTGCAATTTTTAAAAGATGTTTAGGTTAGAATTCGTATTAACTACAATTTTAAATACAACTTTAAAATATTTTCACTGTTATTTTAATAGACTATTTTTTTTTTATGAAAAAACAAGAAAATGTAATAGAATGACTTACAGTATATAAAATTAATATTAATTTGTAAGGATTTTCAAACCAATTAGGTTAATAAGAAAAAAATAAAATGGAAATGACCTAAAACAAATTTTAAAATCCAGGCAGAAGCAAATAAAAGAAAAATGAAAAAAAAGGAAGAAAGAGTAAAAGAAATAGTGAAAAGACAAGATAGAAAAAGGAAGAAAAGAGAGAAAGAAGAAAGTAGAGAGAGGGTAGTTATGTCTAGACATGGTAATGGTATGAGGAGATAGACTGACCTAATTTATATAAGAATATTCACCTCGGTTTCAATCAGTAAAATAAAGTGGAAAATTATGGAAAAATATTTTTTAATCTTATATTAACTAATTACTATTAATTCAATACTAAAAGATATAATTATATATTTACATTAATGAGAAAAATTTCCAGAATTATTAATATATTAAAATATTAAAAACCTATAATGATTTAATTATTTTCTTTTTAGGATCAATTTAATATAATTCATTTTAAATTAAAAAGAACAAATATTAATATATACAAAAAAAATATTTAATTCCTATAGCTCCTTCCTGACAATAACCAATAGTATGGTCTAAAGTACTACAGACTATTCATTTGGTTTGAAATGAAGAATGTATTTGGATCTCATATTAATAAATATAAGATGACCAGGAGAAACTATTATAATTAAAATAATGATAGTAAACATTACAATATTACAGATCTAAGTCATTTAGTTTAAAGTGATCTGAGTATTTATTTATTTTTTGTTCAGCTAATCAGGTATTACAAACCACAGTCAAGATTATGAGGCAACATTTCATCAAATATTCTAACCCAGTTAATATGTACCTGTCAAGTCTTTTAACATGAAATATTAATAGAAACAGGAATGAAATCTAAATGTGAATGTTTTCATAAAAGTTTACTTGGATTAAATGAAGGTTGAGCTATAAGAATTGTACCTCTCAAATGAATTGCTAAAAACACAATTCTTTTAATACTAAAATTCACACAATACAAACTTCAAAAACCACTCAATGTAGAGGGTTACTCTCAAAATGCTAATGTGTGATATGAATGAAAGAGGGGGGTGGTCATAAGAAATAAAGATTTTTTGGATAAGGAGGATAGATAACAACTGACTCTAACATTGAAGAGGTTAACATTGTAGTTTTCAGGGTAGCATCCATGTACAAGTCTGTTCCTCAAAGTAACAGTTCATGGGGAAAATGTTGTGGAGGCTACTAAAGTTTCCACTACAGAACTTATATTTGTTCTTATATAAATATATCAATAATTAGCATATTAGAATCTGTAGTCACAATGATAATATGTATATATACCTGGCAATATAAACCAAAACATTTATATAGTCTGTAAAAATATATGAAAAAATATATATATATATATATATATATATATATATATATATATATATATATATATATATATATATATATGACATTCACTGTAAACAAATGAGTCAAAGACTTCCAGGTGAAGTACAAGGAACTGACCATTTTTTTAGTATCTTTATCAATGGATCATATATATGAGTTCCACTTGCAGTTTGAAGTGAACTTTCAAAACCTTTTTAAAAACTTTCAAAACTTTGGGTTTGTTTGGTGATGATGATGAAATATTACTATCTTGGTTTTGGAGGTGTTGAATGTTACAAGACAGTTCTTTTCCCATTAGTCTATTAGAGCTAGATCAGTGAAGAAATCAGCTTCTCATATGATATTGATTTTTCAAGGTGCTTCTCTAAGCTGTTTGGTAATGAACTAAGAATGTTTCAAGGCAAAATTTTCAGAAATATACAATAACAATAAAATGTTCAATTTTCCTTGCAGTGAAGTTTGTTTTATAAAGTAATTAAGTGTTCATAGTTTGGTATGAAATGTGTGAACAAACTTTACAGTGGTCATCATAATGTGTTTGTGAGTTCATAGACAAAAGGTACATAGCTGGTTAATCCATTCAATTGTGTGCATGGACAAGACCTTAGTCAGCAGCAGCTTGCTGTCTCTCTTCCATTATGTGCATGCACGTGTAGATCAAACTGGCCTTTGAAATTATTTTGATCCTTGCTTCTATTTTTATGTATGAGATTCAAGATCTAATTTCACATAGAGGTATGAACATTTTGAATACAAGGTTTTCACAATGTCTTGCAAAAATCTTTTTCTTGATTTTGTGGGAATGGTGAAGGGAGTTCTTACTTATTTTGTATAATTATGTTCGCAAGTATTTTGTCAGTATTTGTACTTGTAAATATTATAAAAGAAAACTTCTGATGGGATTTTATTGGTTTAAAAATATAATTCCTATACACATAATCTGTATGTTATGCAATGAAAATTAAATATTAATAACGTAAATGCATTGTTAATGGTTTTACTATAGAAATACGTTAAGAATCAGAAAGAAAGGGATTGTCAGTGGTCTGGAATTAAGGAAATCATTATTTATGTAATATAGCTATTATATGCATAATGTAAATATTGTTAATAATTAACCTAACTTACCAAATGATTATTGATTAATAGGGGCAACAGGTTTTGGAATGTTCTTCATGGTTTGTTTCCTAATAATTAAACAGTTCCTGTTTTTTTAAGAATTTCTAATTTTATCATATTTTCCCATCTGTTGCTAGATTTAGGAAATAGACCAAATCTATGTGTAAATAATTGGCCATGCATAAAATTCATAATCAAATGTTTAAAAGGTTTTTATTCTATTTATTTTTAAATTGATACTTCAGAGATGATATCAATTTTTTTCCATAGGAAATATATCTACAAAAGAAAAAAATAATCTAAAAAATATATAAACAGACTGAAATAGATAGATAGATAGATAGATAGATAGATAGATAGATATGAACAGAAAAAAAAGATATATATATATAGAGAAAAGATAGATAAATAGAGAGATTTGCTTAGCACGAAAAAGATAGATATCAACAGGCAGAAATAGATATATAGAGAGAACAGACAGATGCATATGAACAGATTGAGATAAATATATATATATAGATGAAAAAGAATAGATAGATAAGATTAGACTGAGATAAATATGAAGAAGCTGAAATAGATAGATAGATAGATAGATAGATAGATAGATAGATAGATAGATAGATAGATAGATAGATATTATAGACAGAAATAGAAAGATCTATAGGTAGATAATAAACATACTTATATAGACATGGATGGACTAAGAAAAATATTAAGAGGCTTCAATAGATAGATAGATAGATAGGTATCAAATGACAATTGGAAAAAAATCTTACATTTTGCCGACGTGTTTTGTCTTCCGACTTTTTCAAGGCAAAAATGAAATCGAAATGTTTTTGTTGTTATAGTTACATTAAAATTCAAAATTAAAAAGATAGACGCTTGTGTCTAAGCCTTTTTTCTGGTTAATTCATCTGGGAATTTAACGATAGATAGATAGATAGATAGATAGATAGATAGATAGATAGATAGAAATAAACTGAAATAGATAGATAGTTATGAATGGACAGATAGAGAGATAGATAGGCATAAATAAACTGAAATAGATAAATAGATAGATATATAGATATGAACCAACTGAAATAGATAGATAGATATGAATATACTTAGACAGACAGATATGAAACAGATAGATTGATAAATAGATAGATATGAATATACTTAGACAGATATGAAACAGATAGATAGATTGATAGATAACGAACATAGATAGATATGAATAGACAGAGGGAAATATGAAGTGTCTGAGATAAAAAGATCAATAGATAGACACATAGATAGATATACATATATATAGATAGATAGATATGAATAAATTGAAATATATAGATCGAAAGATATAAATAAACTGAGATAGATAAATAAATAAATATGAACAGGCTGAAATATATATATATATATATATATATATATATATATAAAATAATAATTATTTATTCAAAAATTATAACATAAACATGTTATAATATGACTACAAAAATAGCCATTTTGTTTCAACACTTCTGGTGTCTTGTGATGGTGTTGAATGTAGAATAGTTTTAGAAGGTTTAACTCAGCCAATCGCCCCTCAATAGAGGAAATGATGTTACATTAACCAGTCAAAATACAAGTATATGAAAATTCAAAAACCCTGACAACAAACCTAGGTTATAATTATTAATGCCTTAATGTTAGTGTTAGACTAAAATAGAAATCATTCTGATTAATTTTAAATTTTACTAGAAAATTGAAAATAAAAGTTACCAATTTTAAATTTAACCTTTATTAAGTTTAAAATATAAAATTATTTAAAGGGACTGGGGAAAAAATATATATATATATATATATATATATATATATATATTGTTTTAATTGAAAAGCCAAAATCTCAGTTTTTTGGTTATTAGAATTTATCCCATACACACCAATCCTATACTTGGGCATATATATATATATATATATATATATATATATATATATATATATATATATATGATAATGACCATTCTTGGATATGATAAGAATGAAGAGACAGAGACAGATAGAGGCATATACATAGATAGATAGATAGATAGATAGATAGATATGAACAGGCTGAGATAGATAGATAGATAGATAGATAGATAGATAGATAGATAGATAGATAGATCAGACTGAGACAGATGGATAGATAATGAACATCCAGAGAGTTGAATAGATTGAGAAAAACATGAAGTACCCAAGATAGATAGAGAATAGAGAGAGATGGATAGATAGATATGAATCAACTGAGATAAATATGAAGAGCCTAAGATGCATAGATAGATAGATCGATTGATAGCTAGCTAGATAGCTAGCTAGCTAGCTAGCTAGATAAATAGATAGATAAAAAAATGAACAGACTGAGATAGATAGATAGATAGATAGATAGATAGATAGATAGATAGATAATGACCATTCTTAGATATATATGAATGTAGTTTCTGAGACATATATATATATTCCCAAGAGGATAGAATCCAGATAGAACTCAATGTCCAGGACAGAATAAGGCTATAATATAAAAGGCTCAAACTCTAATATTATTAATATAATATAACACTTATATTCCATGGTTTAATATATATATATATATATATATATATATATATATATATATATATAATATAAAAGGCTCAAACACTAATATTCCATGGTTATAATAATATAAGTGTTATATATATATAATATAATATAATAATATAAGTGTTATATATATATATATATTTTTTTAACATTTCACCCCAAGCAAAGTGGGAAGCCACTAGGACAGGTTTCACAGATGCTTCTTATATATAAAATAGGTTAGTTAACAAAACAAGGACAAATGAATGGGTACCAATATAATCAGTATGAGAAACATTTATTAAATATTAATTATTAACCATATGACAGAAATGAAGCACAGAAAGAAAGGTTTTAAGTTTGAAATTTTGGACATGCCTGTGTCCTTCATCAACAGAGCAAGAGATAAACAGAAGAATGGAAGTTACTCACCGAAAGATGTTTTTGTAGAAGGTGTATTTTCTGGTGGAAATCATATTATTAGCAAAAATCCGATCTCTGTCTGAATCCTTGCTGTACAAAACTTTTTATGAAAATGAGTTTAAATTTAAAATTTTAATCAGTGTGAAAGCATTAGGCAGGTCTATTATTATTAATGGAGGAGTAAGATTGTAAACATAGATGAAGAGAGTCATACGCTGCAGGTGGAGAAAGACAGGATGTGGTTAGAATAATGCAATGAGAAAAAATGAGGAGGAAAAAAATAGAATAAATAGTAATAAAATATTATTAAATGAAAAGAAAAGGAACAATAGATAAAAATTTGGAAATCTATTAACAAAATATGGGGGGGGGCGGTACAGAAAATAAGAAATAATAAAAGAAAAACAGAGAGGAAAAGTTGTTGCATGTGAGTATAAAATATATAATATTCAAAATATCTAGTATACAGTGCTTGTGGATTTGGTCAATGTAACCAGAAATGTGTTGTGTCAGGGTTACTATACCAGAAACTATAGGCTGGCCAGGTGGATTGATCATAAGAGATTCTGTCAGGTCATACAGTTAGATAGATACATTGATAAATGGGTAGATAGACAGACAGACAGATAGATAACAAACATTTATAGATCTGAATAGACTGAAGAAAATATGAAGCACCTGAGATAGATAGATAGATAGATAGATAGATAGATAGATAGATATGAATAGAGTGATATAGGTAGATTGATAGGTAGATAATGAACAGACTAAAATATATAGATTAATAATGGAAATATGTAGAAAACTAGATAGATAGATATGAAAAAGACTGAGATAAATAAATAGATAAGGAACAGCATTAGATAGATAGATAGATAGATAGATAGATAGATAGATAGATAGATAGATATTGATGGACTGAAATATATGGATAGATAGGGAATGAATATAATTAGATAGATAGATAGATAGATAGATAGATAGATAGATAGATAGATTTGAACAGACTATGTAGATAGATAAACATGCACTGAATGAGATAGATAGGTAGATAGATAGACAGGTACTTATACTTAATATAACTGTCATATGTCCTAGTCGACAAATGGGTTTATAAGGCGATCATACGTCGACCAGAAGATATATACATCACCACACCTGTGGAGAGATACAGGCTATCTCTCTCAGATCATGACAATGGACAATTAGTAAACAAAAAAAAATATTTTAAAGAACACTGTTCGATTAGGATAATCAAACAGTAATCTTTTCCCAGGTTCGCTTCGGTTTCAACACGAATACTGATCCACAATTCAAGGATGAACGATAAGGCGTAGTGAATTTTGATATAAGGACTTTAATATGTATAGATATACAAAATATTAAAATAAAATAAAATATAAGCATGAGTAAAACATCTGACGACCAGATCTCAAGACTTATGTTGGGATATCAAAATATGCCTAACTCCAAATGGATTCAACTGAACCCGAACGGTATGAATAACTACGAATGCAGAAATCAACACATAACCAAAAGAGATGGGATAGGAGTTACATATTATCATTTTGACATGTGGAAAGGTGTTTGTAAGAACATAATATTTATGGATGCATGTGTATCTTTCTAACACGGGTCCAAAATATATGATTACTTATCTTTATAATCAGTTCTCTTTTTTATCATTGTCCTTTCTTTTCTCTTTCATGTTTCCTCTTTTCTTTCCTTTTTTTTTTCTTGCCACAAATATGATTTCACACACTGTCCGGCTGTAACAGAGATATACACTTTCTTCCTCTCTCTGGTTTTCTTCTTTCTTTCTTCTTTACACAATTCAGCTTGTAACAGAGATATATACTTTCTTCCTCTCTGGTTTTCTCTTTTCTTCAAATGCAGTTTGTATTCTCAGCGTACAAATTCCTTTGCGTCTTCTGTGATAAATAACACAGGTTATTGTCTTCAATTTGGGGTTATCGAACAGAAATACATGTTCTTATATTTCTTGTCCGGAGTTGCCTGGGATGAATCGGACAAGTTCCATCATTATCAAATGAGTCTCATCTTTCCGTTCATAAGTTATCAGTGCTTCAATTTCGAGTCTTGCTCCTTCAAAGACAAGACAGCAACTGACTCCCAAGTAATTTTCTAACTCTTACGTGTTTTGGTGTGAATTCCAGCTTACATCAGTCCCCTGTCTAGCTTCTGTCTAGACATCTGCTGCTACGGGTAATTGGGTCAGTCATCCTCTTGACTTGCTTTCCCAAAATGTCTCAAGACTTCCACATGACCTCTTTTGTTGTCAGGTGGAAATTAACCTTAATATATGCGTGTTTGGGTTATCTGCGTCTGTCACATAACTTACAGTTTTTCTCTTTCTTTTTTTAATAAATAAGTTACACAAATGTAAAATTGAAATATTACTGTTTTGATCTGGTTTCAGAAATTATTTTTTAAGTCTCATTATTTGTACAAACTTTCTTACCTACATATACATCTCACTGGGCACCTCAAGGTGGTGTAATGGCTAGCAAGCTTGTCTCGCTAGAACAATTACGATTGAGTAGTGAGTTTGATCCTCACTGGGTACCCCCTACTTTCGGCCTTGTGCCACATCTAATCTACGCTTGGAAAATCACTTTGGGCACCTCAGTGTGGTGTAATGGTTAGCAAGCTTGTCTCACTAGATCAGTTACAACTGAAAAGTGAGTTTGATCCTCACTAGATGCCTCATACTTTCAGCCTTGTGCCACATCTAAGCTACGCTTGGAAAATAACTACATATACATCTCATTTTACTGATATTCTCAGTTGAATTTTTCAATTTCCTCAATTTCAATGTTCTTACTACTCAACTTTCTCTAGTTTAGTATGTGACTATTTGCTTTGTGCATTTGAAGCCTGTTATATTATGTAGAGCTACTGCTACTGTAGTAATATCAGTTATTATGCTTTGTACCCAACTAGTGTGATTTTATACTTAGTGAAAATAATGTTAGCAAGTTATTATTAAGACTGTCTACCATAACATTTACAAAAAAAAAATTCATATCTTATATCTATTTTGTTCTCTTTATAGTTGGTATGGATGAGGGTTGAGCTGGAGTGAATTAGACAAATTTATAGCAAATCCTTATGGTACTATGTCACGTCCAAAGGAAAAACAAATAAATATATTCTGAACATTTTTTTAATTCAAAGTATCCTCTTTGATTTTTTTGTGTAAATATTTTTTAAATATTTTAAAATAATTTTAAAATATTGTTTGAGGAAATAATGAGAGAAGAAATAAATGAAACAATTTCAGTTCCAATTAAAACAGTGAAAAGTTTGTGACTACTGTGGGGTTTAAAATTATTTTGTTTTTGACTTATGATATATGATATTGGATTTAATGTGGTTTCTGATGATTTGTAGATTTACAGGTGGTTATCTTCAGATAACACCCTTATCCCAATATGCACTAAACTTTGGCCTTGTAAAAATAAATGAAAAAATATATTTTTCATGTAAAGATAAAATTTTATATCTTAAAAGTTAAAACATAAAATATTTAAAGTGTTTGTAATTTCATATGGAAAGTTATGTTGCATATCTAACTCCTTTTTATATGTATAAGAGAGAGTCCTTGTATCTATATATTCAGTTGATAGTAATAATCCTCCCGACTCTATGGATTTAAGGATCCAGGGAGAATAAGGTATTGGAGAATGGAAAAATTATTTCATCAACTCTCTGGCTCATTTGTCTGATTGTCACTATGTTATACACTTTTCTGAGACAGAGGAATTCATTTCAGAAGAATCACTTGATTTCTGATTGGTTCACAGGTGTAACTCATTTGACAATTACTTTTTCTTCACCTATATTTGGGAATGATAACTTTTTGTTTTATCTAATTCTTTCTTTTTTCTTATGTTTTTGTTTTTATTTCTTTATGGCAAACCAAAATGGTTTGTAAACTATTCTATCTTTCTTTTTAAATAGTAAAATTTTAATTTTTCTATCACTACAATAGTTTCATGAATTTGAATTTAAAGAAATAACAAAATATTAAGAAACAGGAAAATTTTAATAGAAGCAAATAAAAGAATATTAAAATGATACGTAAAATAAGTCCTCTTATATGGTAGTGAAAGCTAGAGAATCTCCATAAAGATGAAGAGGAGACTTGAGGCAGTAGAAACATAGTTTTACAGAAGGATGCTTAGAAAAGATGGATTGAACATGTAAGCAATGATAAAGTTCTAAAGCAAATGGAAACAAAAAGAACAATTCTATTTAGAGTCAGAGGGAGACAACTAAAATTTCGAGGTGGCATTTTTTTAATCATTTTTTAAGCAAGGCGGGAATGCCACTAGTATGCAGGGGTTACAAGGAGTGAAAGTGAAAGAGAAGACTGAGAATTGGGCCAAGTGAGGAAAGGACAAAAGATGAAAGGGAATGCCACTAGTACGCAGGGTGTTACAAGGAGTGAAATTGAAAGAGAAGACTGAGAATAGGGAGGATTGAGGAAAGGACAAAAGATGAAAGTGAAAGCCATTAGTAGGCAGGGTGTTACAAGGAGTGAAATTGAAAGAGAAGACTGAGAATAGGGAGGATTGAGGAAAGGACAAAAGATGAAAGGGAAAGCCATTAGCATTAGTAGGCAGGGGGTTACAGGGAGTGAAAGTGAAAGAGAAGACTGAGAATTGGGCCAAGTGAGGAAAGGACAAAAGATGAAAGGGAAAGACATTAGTAGGCAGGGGGGTTACACTTCTATGAAAGAAAAAAAGAGAAGACTGAGAATTGGGCCGACTGGGGAAAGGACAAAAGATGAAAGGGAATGCCATTAGTAGGCAGGGGGGGGTTACAGTTTTTGAAAGTGAAAGAGAATAGGGAGGATTGAGGAAAGGACAACAGATGAAAGGGAAAGCCATTAGTAGGCAGGGGGTTACAGGGATTGAAATTGAAAGAGAAGACTGAGAATAGGGAGGATTGAGGAAAGGACAAAAGATGAAAGGGAATGCCACTAGTACGCAGGGTGTTACAAGGAGTGAAATTGAAAGAGAAGACTGAGAATAGGGAGGATTGAGGAAAGGACAAAAGATGAAAGGGAAAGCCATTAGCATTAGTAGGCAGGGGGTTTTTTAAAACTTAGTGAAAGTGAAAGAGAAGATTGAGAATTGGGCCAAGTGAGGAAAGGACAAAAGATGAAAGGGAAAGACATTAGTAGGCAGGGGGTTACAGGGAGTGAAAGTAAAAGAGAAGACTGAGAATTGGGCCGACTGGGGAAAGGACAAAAGATGAAAGGGAATGCCATTAGTAGGCAGGGGGTTACAGGGAGTGAAAGTGAAAGAGAATAGGGAGGATTGAGGAAAGGACAACAGATGAAAGGGAAAGCCATTAGTAGGCAGGGGGTTACAGGGAGTGAAAGTGGAAGAGAAGACTGAGAATAGGGAGGATGGAGGCAAGGACAAAAGATGAAAGTGAAAGCCATTAGTAGGCAGGGGGTTACAGGGAGTGAAATTGAAAGAGAAGACTGAGAATAGGGAGGATTGCGGAAAGGACAAAAGATGAAAGGGAAAGACATTAGTAGGCAGGGGGTTACAGGGAGTGAAAGTGAAAGAGAAGACTGAGAATTGGGCCAATTGAGGAAAGGACAAAAGATGAAACGGAATGCCATTAGTATGCATGGGGTTACAGGGAGTGAAAGGGAAAGAGATGACTGAGAATAGGGAGGATTGAGGAAAGGACAAAAGATGAAACGGAATGCCATTAGCAGGCAGGGGGTTAGAGGGTGTGAAAGTGGAAGAGAAGACAGAGAATAGGGAGCATGGAGGAAAGGACAAAAGATGAAAGGGAAAAACATTAGTAGGCAGGGGGTTACAGGGAGTGAAAGTGGAAGAGAAGACTGAGAATAGGGAGGATGGAGGAAAGGACAAAAGATGAAATGGAAAGACATTAGTAGGCAGGGGTTTACAGGGAGTGAAAGCGAAAGAGAAGACTGAGAATAGGGAGGATTGAGGAAAGGACAAAAGATGAAAGGGTAAGCCACTAGTACGCAGGAGGTTACAGGGAGTGAAAGTGGAAGAGAAGACTGAGAATAGGGA